GAGTAGCCCAAGAGTTGGCGGTGGGCGGTGATGACTAGCTTCCTTCCCTCTAGTCTTACACTGCTAAATTAGGGACGGCTAGCGCAGATAGCCCTCGTGTAGCTTTGCGCGAAATTCAAAACAAATAAACAAACACAATAAAACAAACAAATTAATTACATATATAATGATCGACATCAAAGTCATGCTAAAATTAAGAGTAAATAAATATGTATTGTACATTATACATTTACTGTTCCACTTCCATTATATAACGTAAGCTCTATATTTTATTATACATGTAAAAGATTAAAAACAGTTGTAAGGGAAGAGTTATATAGTTAACGTTTCAGCCAAAACGTCCAAACAGACTTTCCCAAGCGGCAATTTTAACAATTTATTTTTTACTTAGATTCTATCCAGTTGTAACTGCTACATTTTGTTACCTGTATTACATTATGCGTTGCATACTATGTTACAAAATATTACTTCCCGATGTTGCAATCTGTCGTGAAATGAATGTAGAAGCTCTGGTTCTATTAATCGCTTTTGTTTTATTAAAATTATTTATAACAGCACTGTGTTTCTATTGATTGCACCATTTGAGAAACTTTTTCGTCTTCGCAAGCATCACGAACCTATAATAAAAAAAGGGCGTGTCTGTCTCTGTGTGACCATCATAGCTCCAAGAGGAAAAAACTTAGAAACCTGAAATTTTGCACCCATACTAAGTGGACCCTTAGGATGTGCACCTGGGTATTATTACTTATCTTATACACATGCGCGCCACATAGTATACCCTGTAGTATATCACTTAGATTAACAACTACTAATATATGGAAAAGCCAGTGAGTTTTTGGAACACTATGTTCCAACAACGGCTTTTATGTCATGTTGCTTAGCAACAAAAGTATAACCTAATATCGTTGTTAGTCTATGTACTGAAAGTACAAAATGAAATGTATAGACAACAAAACTGGAAAAATATCTGTTGATTTCTTAATTTAGAGACTCCGGTGATTACAGATGTTTGTTTTTTGTTTTTTACGTTATTGATTTGACATAAAATAGCTTTATTCAGAAACGATTTAAGTTTAAAATTGAATCGATATTTTTATTTCGTGATAAATTTTATGCACTTGCTAAAACACATCGACCTAGTAACCGGGTAATTTTGCTAGTAGCATTAACTGTAGACACAATAACTTTTGAGAATTCACAGTTATCATACTCGTGCTTTGTTCAGGGGTACATCTCGACACTCTATTGGATATTCTGGGAACGAAAGACGTCATTTTGTCGTAATGACCACTTTTTAACTGTTAATAACTGTAATATCTCGTTTAATATTCTTAAAGTACGCTATTAAATCTTGTGTCTTGAAGAGATTGTCATTCAAACTTGGAAACTTTCTAGAATGAATCGGTGTTCATTAGAAAGGCAACTTTCACTTCCGGGCCCGATCTTTCAAAACAAAATATTGTTTTCTGTGTGGCTTTGAGAGTCTAACTTCGCTACTGACAATACCAAAGTTATTGCTTCAAGAAGTCGGGGCCAGGCGTATCCTAATGGTTAGCGTATTGGACTACTTATCGAAGGGTCCTGGGTTCGATACGTGAGCGCTTCTAAATACGCTCCATAATTTCAGCTGCGAGCGTGTTATAGAAATAATAGTCAGTCCCAGTATTCGATTCAAATAACCGTTAAAGCGTTTGTGGCGGCGAGTGCTGCTGGCTGTTTGTCTTCCTTCAAGTAAGTACTATAAAATTATGGATGGCTATACCTGAATTATAGGACCCGCTAACCTGGTTGTTTAGCCCAAGTATACACGAGGGTGAAAAATTTTAATTACAATCCTTGCTACTTATCATTATACCCTGTAACGTTTAATAGCATACTGTAATAAGATTAAATAAGATACTACAATTATTAACATTTATCTTGTTACTTATTATTATACTCTGCATCTTAGACTATTTAAGCTTGTTAGTCTATAAAAAACAGCTCAATTACAGCTCTTAAAAACTCTTTGTAGGAAGGTAATTAATTCTTCACGGGTGTGGGTATTTAATATTTTAAATAAATAAACAACGTCCATTTAAAAGTTAGCATAAACTATTCATATAGCAACTTTTACATATTGGTGCTGTAACGTTAACAATGTTATCATAGAACCTAACGGGTGAGATTAAAGACTCTCCAAGCAACATCCCCGATCAATAATTCACGTGATGTTTGTCTCAATTTAGATTTCTCCAGAACCCTCTGAAACAGCAAACTAAAGGGGAAAAGACAGCGTTGTCAAAGGTTGACTTAAAAAAATATAAACTATAGAATCATATAAACATTTATTCTGTCTTCAACTAATTCCTCAACATGAAGCTCCAAGGTGGTCTATTCAGTTAGTTCCACCATAAAGGTATATTAACATCCACGTATTAGCATATTTGCAGTGAGATGACGTTCATCAGTACATGGTATTAGAAGTATTTAGTATACAAAGGATATCAGTAAAAAAGTGGGTATTAGTTATCATTTAGTATTTGCAGTAACGAAGTGAGTAAACGAAAGATATCATCATTACTGGTCGGTCATTCGATGTTTCTAACAACAGAAACTTAGGCATACCGGAATATTTAGAGAGTATACACGAGCAGTTTCTCGTGCTAAACGTTTATATTTAACGATATCCTTCAGGCGGAATAGACCTGATGATCCTTTAGTGCTGAAATTTAACGTTTAAAATTAAAGGTATTTCAGGCAGGTGGAAGAGGACATGGGGTGGAATAGGAGGAATTTAATGTTGTCTGTGTTGAATGGGGTTAACCGTACTGCCTGACCACAACTACCCAACTCTAGGAGGAACAACTATAACTAGACTATCATGCAAGATGTTTTAGGATGTGTGTGTAGTAGAATTTGGTCAGCTGACACTGTTTGTTATACATGAAATAATATGACTTACGAACGTCTTTGTGTTTACGTGATACGGAAAAAATATTGATACCCAAACCCTGGTGTTATATTCAATGGCAGGGATCTGGAAAATATTTTGGTATGACAAAAATTAAATATAACAGGGAAGGGCGAGGGTATTTAGGTTGATAAAAATGAGATAAAATGAATTTGTAAATTTCAGCTTCAAAGTATGTATTTTTCTTAAGGATACAACTAATACATCTGTAATTAATATAAATTTTAGCTATAGTTACCGATAAGTTTGAATGTAAAAATGTTTTATAAACATTTAATAATAAATAAAATTAAAAACCAAAATACTTATTTACTGAAAGGGTGAGCACGTTTGGTGACGAGATTCGAACTCGCGACCTGCAGGTTGAGAGTCAAGTACCCTAACCATCAGGCATGCCAGGCCTTATGAAATGAGTAAGCACGTGTCTTGGTGTTTGACACTTCGTAACTCTCTCTCTCTATATATATATATATATATATATTACAGAGAAACAACAAATAAGTCTATCAACTCTTTAGGGAGGGCCCGGCATGGTCAGGTGGATAAGGCGCTCGACTCGCAATCTGAGGGTCGCGGGTTCGAAT